TCCTCCTCTTCCTCCTCCTCCTCCTCCTCCTCCTCCTCCTCACTCTTCCTCCTCTTCTTCCTTTTCCCTCTGATCTGCTGTCCTCTCCTCTTCTCTCTCCCTCTTTTCCTCCTTTCCTCAGGTCACAGCGGAGTGAATCAGCTCGGTGGTGTATTTGTCAACGGGAGGCCACTGCCGGACTCCACCCGGCAGAAGATCGTAGAGCTAGCTCACAGCGGGGCCCGGCCGTGCGACATTTCCCGAATTCTGCAGGTGATCCTCCCGGCGCGCCGCCCCATCCGCCGCCCCCCTGCGGCCCTCCACTCTCAGCGCTCTCTCTTCATTTCTTACTGTAAACTTCGCTAATTATGGACCCCCCCACCTTTACCTATTGGGCCCAGTTCCCATCCCCATTCCCCTGCCTTCCCGCTTTCCCCCCTTCCACCATCCTTCCCTACCTCTTGCAAGCAACCTGAGTCAGTTACATAAGATAATTCATCTGCTTAAGGGGAAAAATGTGTGTGAAGATTTTTTTAAACCTTTCTCTTTTCATTTGATAAAGGCATACATTTATTGTAGTAACAGTTTATGAACTGTAAGGAGCTGAGTTATATAAACTGGCCTAATTTAATTCTCCTCTTCCCATCCCCCCTGGCTCACCTTAGATTTTGATAGATTTGTTTGCATTCTTCATGCATACAAAGCATATATATTGATTTGAAAAAGCAAATGCTGTCTGCCCCTTTCTAATTCACATTTAATCATTTGGGCATACTTGTAAGGGAAAAGAAAACGCAAAAATTCAGTTAACTTTTCTCCTTTGTTCTTTAAGACATGATGCCACTTTAAGCAAATCAGCACACTAAACAAAAATTAACTTGACTTCGTTTTGATGCATCTTCAGGCATTGTTTAGGAAAACAGTTTTTAAATTTTTAAAAATTATTTTTTTAGTTCAAAAATGTTTGAAAGTATCATCAGATTTGTAGTTTTTAGGGCTACAAATGTAATTTTAAGAAAAAAAAAAGCTCTCTACAGTAAGTTCTCATACCATTGAAGGTATATTTTTGTGTTATAGACCCATGCAGATGCAAAAGTCCAAGTGCTGGACAATCAAAACGTAAGCTTGTCATTGTTTAATGCATACTTAAACAATTTTATTTTTGTCTTGAAATCATTAATAATGTGGTTTTCTGTCCACTTCCCCTATGCAGGTGTCCAACGGATGTGTGAGTAAAATTCTGGGCAGGTATTACGAGACTGGCTCCATCAGACCCAGGGCAATCGGTGGTAGTAAACCGAGAGTAGCGACTCCAGAAGTTGTAAGCAAAATAGCCCAGTATAAGCGGGAGTGCCCGTCCATCTTTGCTTGGGAAATCCGAGACAGATTATTGTCCGAGGGGGTCTGTACCAACGATAACATACCAAGTGTAAGTTCACTGAGAACATTTGCCTTCACTGCACTAAGATCCACATTGCTGTCTTCCTCTCCTTTTTGCCACCTCTTTCTTTACTGCTCTTCACTCTCTCAGTGTCTCTTCATTATTGTCCCTTCCCTGATTCACAAATGTCCTCTGTACCTGCCAGATATTGAGAGCAATGCCCTGACGTTTTAACTGAGATATGGGAATCAAGTGTAGAGAGTTATTCTTTTCATTTGCATGCTTCAAACCGAAGGGCAGAGGCTGGGGAAATACAACTTGAATCAAGAAGGAAAATAAAAATGAAAACCGGTTCTTATTCCCTACAAATGCACCTGCTTGAGTTCTTCAGGCATCTTACACCTAGTTCTGCTCTAATAGAAAACCATCAAATAGTATGAGAGCAATTTCTAAGCTAAGTCTAACTCCTTGATCAGGAAGGTTTTAAACAAAGAAAACAATCCCCTGCATTAGGTCACCAAAGACACCTAGAGAAAGTGAAGTACCTGCCAGTTTCCTACCTAACTCAATCTCCATGCCCAAAAAGATGGTCATCATTCTTTTCATGAAGTAACTTCAAACTCACTCACTGGGGGGGAAAGGGGAGTCTGGGAGCTTTGTAATGTGTTGAGAGTCATTCTTTCAAGTGTTGAGTGAGCTGAGAGGGGGACATAAGATGGTTGGAGTGAGTGTATCTTCAGGAGACGCTACCATTTGGCTTGATTTGGTTTGCTTTGCAGGTGTCATCAATAAACAGAGTTCTTCGCAACCTGGCTAGCGAAAAGCAACAGATGGGCGCAGACGGCATGTATGATAAGCTAAGGATGTTGAATGGACAGACCGGAAGCTGGGGCACCCGCCCTGGTTGGTATCCCGGGACTTCGGTGCCAGGGCAACCTCCACAAGGTAATCTACGCAAGCTAGCTTTCCCTCTGTCATGGACATCCTCTCCTGTTCCAACCTTTTCCTCTTCCAGGCTTTGGTACCTGGAGAATGCAGTAAGGGGACTGTGTCAGAAAGCCTAGGTCACCTTGACTTGCATTGCATGTATGTATTGTAGGTGGTATTTGCTAAACCATCTTGTTGACCTTAGAGGGGTGTGTGTGTGTGTGTGTGTGTGTGTGTGTGTGCACTCATGGGTAGGAATATGTGTAAGAGCAAAGCAGTGTGGTGCCCCCATTCAAATATGACATTACAATGCATGGAGAGCCCCCTTGCTGTAGAAATGTGACAAGTTAACACACTGACAGGCTGCGAGGTAAACATGATTGTATCATTTTGCCTTTTGCTGTAATTGACAAATTATGTGATTATGAGTAGGGCGCAGAGGAAAGCCTGAGCATGGGAAGTGGTGCTTTCCCAACTAAATCACCCAGGTCAACATCTCAAGTCTCTTCCCCCCCCTCCCCTCCGGTTAAGCCCCCAGTTCTCACTCTCTGTGGGTGGTGACTAGTCAGAAGAGGTGGGGGTAGGTGAGGAGGCTACAAACTAGACAAGGAGGTGCGCTGTGGGCTTGGGGCTGGGCGAAGAGGTGGGGTCTGTGGGAAGGGGTGGAGGGAGAGGAGCGGGTGGGGCTCGGTTAGCAATCTCCTCCCCCTCCCCCCACAAGTAGCTTGGTCAAGAATAGGAAACAGTTTACTAGGAAGATTAATCGGTATTTGTTGTCCTCGTGACAAGGAGATAATATGCGGGATAATGGGACGTGGCGTCTCACTCCTGGGAGCACTACAGAGCCTGGGGGACCCGGGCCGAGGCTCCAGGGCGGGGGTGGCACGTAGGGACCGTGATGACCATGTGGCTGCCCGGTGCTTGCCCGCTAGTCCCCACGTTGGGGATCTCAGGTCGGTTCCGCGTGCCCCGTGCCTCCACGGAGCCAGGCTGGAGAAGGGAAAAATCGGTAACAGTATGCGAAATATCTGGTACAAAGGATGCTTCTGTCACTCGCAAGAATTTGTTATGGGAACAATCCTGTCGCTCTGTAATTGCTCATTAGAGAACGTTTTGTTTCTCATTAAGGCGACATGAATAAGCGTCTAGTTGAAGGAGACAGCTGTAGAAATGTTCCACAAGAGACCTCTGGACACGATTCGGCACCAATTGCCAATTAGACATGTCAGTTTTAAGAGCAGAAAACAATATAGGACGGACACTGGGAAGATAGGGAGCAAAGCGCTCGGTCCTTGTTTCCCAGCGCGGCCGCTTGGCCGGTGGAAGGGCTCCTGTTGGGCCAGGGGCTCCACTTCTCTGCATCACCCTTTCCACCACTTGCGGGGCTTCGAACCCACCACCCCTGGGAGTGCATCACTGAGCTCACACTTTCCCGGACCTGCGAGTGATCTGCCCAGTTGTAGACAACCAACCGAGATCAGTGATTTGAAACAGTAGGATCCCCACGGTCACACTGGACACACCCCAGTGATCGCTTGAACTTCACACTCCACATGTCCATTCCCCCTGCTATGTCACCCCTGCAGTCTCCCTCAAAAGATTTCTTGGGAAAGGGCTCCAGACCAGGCCTGGAAGAGTGGAGGCTACAGCCTCCACCCACAAGGCTTCTTGAAGCCAGGGCTCATTGCTGGGGGGAAAGGGGCCCAGGAAATGGATACCCTTTTTTTGCTACCTGGCTCCAGAACAGAAGCACCACCAGGGGTGGCGGCGGCCTGGTGAGGGCAGATTTTCATCCAGGCAAGTTGGTTGGTGGGCCAGTAGCTGAAAGCCAAACCAAACGGAGAGGGCCTGGTGGTGAGATTTGGGGCGGAGGTGGCGCTAATCCTGGAGTTCTTCAGTTCTACAAGCTTAGGTACTAGAGGAACACTGGGACATCACCTGTCCAGAGGACTCCGGCCTCCAGGATTGCCCCCCCCCCCAACCCTGTCCCACTGCCACAATCCCTGCTGCGGTGGCAAGGGCGCATGGTGGTCCCAAGCGAGCTTAGCCCAGTGGCTGAGAAGGTTTCCCCTTCTTTCCTGGCCCCCTTTCCCGACCCGGGAGAAAGCTCCTCTTACGTTTTTAAAGGGTCCATTACTCCAAAAGCATAAGGCGAGGTTAGGTCTTAGAGGGAGACAAATATGGTTTCCATCTGATCCACGCTAATCGTGACGCCGAGGTGGGCTGACAACCAGAGACAACTCTATCCAGCCCCAATTCTCCAGTGATTTGGTGGTTTTTTTTTGGGGGGGTGGGGAGATCAGGGAGACACTTTCTCTTATCTCCTCCTCCCTTCCCACCCCCCACCCCCTCCATAATACCCCGGCCCTCTATAGGATTTAGTCAGTCTTCTCTTTCAACAGATGCTACAATGTTTTGATCTGAGCTCCAAAGCTGAAAAGGTGCCGCAACCGGGTTGCTATCTTTTCTTGCTTGTTTTCCGCCTCACTGATTTAGACACTAAGAAACTAAGGAATGATTTTATTTCCCAGAGTCTCTCCCCCCCTCCTCCTTCCAAGAAACAAATCCTATCCCCAGCGTCAGATGTTCCTGGGGCTGGGATAATGGAGAGGATTTCTCTCGCCTTCTCACGGATTAGGCTGGAAGGTGGACGGCGCCCATTGAAGCCCCCTTCTTTGCGCAGCGCGGAGGGGGCGCCTTTTTAAAGAAGATATCTTAATTGTCTACCACTTAGGTCTATGGTGTGGGGAATTGAGGTCTGACTTCTAGTTTTATTTTGTTAAAAGGGTGGAAGGTAAAGCCACTAAAGGGTGTGGGGTGGAGGAGGGAGGAGTAAAAAGTGCCCAATCTGAGTGACTATAGTTGTTAGTTGAAGTAGGAAAACACATTGTAAGAGGTATACACTTTCCAGCAACGTGGAGGCATCCTGTAGCAATGGGTTTTCTCCTTGTTGGCTGTCACTGCAGCCTTCTGTTTTTGTCTTTAAAATTTGAAATCTAGTCCTGGGGGTGGGTGGGGAGGAGGGGAGGTCCCAGGTGACTCTCTTTCCCTTAAATGTTTCCTGCACTTGAGACCCAGCAGGCTCTAGGCATGTAGGGATGGCAGGCATGTGTAAGAATGCATGTGATGTGATGTGTGTGTGTGTGTGTGTGTGTGTGACAGAGTATAAATATTCATATAAAGTTATATAAATTGCCATGCTATAAAACTAGGGGCATGTCAGAGAAGCAAAAAGGAGAGCGGAGAATACTAACTGCAAGGGTCTTCCGAAGGAGACCTCGGCAGCTTTGTTGAATTAGCAAGACCTAATGTGCCAGAAAAGGGGCTGGGTTCACTGCCTTCCTAGAAGGCTGTGACCATCCCTGGGGGATGGCAATTGTGTTCTTTCCCCCTCCCCCCCCACGTGGGATGGTCACTGTGTTTTTGCCAAAAGCAACAGCCCATGGACTTTTTCTAGTTGGCAAAAAGAGCTCTTTCTAGTTTTCCTCATTCACCCAGCCTGAAGGGAAAGGGAAGGGGACGCGCTAGTCATTTCTTCCCCTGCAACCTACATGGACACGTCACCCAGAAACTTGGGCAGTAAATTAGCACAGACCCTTGGGCCTGCACACGTGAGTCCAGCTTGTCCCCTGGGACTAGCTGCCTTCCCTCCCCCACCTTTCTAATATAGTGCAAGATGACCCCAGAGAACCAAGGCTTGTTTACTAAGACACACTCCCTCATCCTCTCGCTTTCTCTTTCTCTCCTTTGACCCTCTTCTCTTTCCTCTTTGCATTCTTTTCTGTCTTTTCTTCTTCTACCTTCTCAGCTTCCATGTCTCTGGAGATCCCTTTCCCCTTTTCCTCTGGCTCCTCCCGGACCCAGTCCCATCCTCCCCCCTTCCCTCATTGCCCCTTCTCCATCCTTCCTCTTTCTACCCTCCCCACATACCAGCCTGGGTCCTCCTCCACCTTCTTACCTCCCTCCACCCCCTGCTCTGCCCCTCCCCCTGCCTCCCCCCCCATCCGCTCTCCATCCCCCAGCCAAACGCCCTAAATAGCACTGAGTCGCCCGCTCTTTGGACAGTGATTAATGATAGCAGAGCAGAGGGGTTAACACACTTCGCTGAAAAGTCTGTTGACTGGGCTTCTTGTTACACAATGTGGCCCGCTGCACGCCTCAAGAGAATCCTTTTGTTGTCCGTGCTCATTGTGGCCTCAAAATTCTGCCCACGAAAGTTTGCCAACGCTCCTGCCCCAGGAGTTTAATAGTTTCCCTTACTCGCAGGGCATTGTGTGGCGCTGAAAAGCAGCCCCTCGCTATTCAAGTGTTGGTGGTCATCTCAATAGTTCTCCAAGGGCCCATATGGTGGCCAGTGCCGATGAATCCGCCTGTTTAAATGGGGGAGAAAGTTTGGGTTTTAAAACATTTGAAAGTTCCTGAAAAGATCCCACTAGATCCTGTCACAATTCCCTGAACTCTTTGAAGGCGCTGCCCATTGTCTTCTGGTTATAAATGATATTCCTGGGCATGCCGATTCCCACCATGGCTTCCTAGCAGGGGCCCTTCCCCACCCCCACCCCAACTGGCCAAGTTTCTCGATTGGGGGGGGGCGGTCCCTGTTGCTGTTCCTTGGAGGCTTTGGGACTCAGAACCTAAGACCCACTCTGCCAGGGCCTGACTCTTTCCCTTCCTGCCCCACAGGCTGGAGCCTGGCAGGCAAGGTGTGAGGCAGATAGCTAGCCAAAGTGCACATCACGCCCTCCAAGCAGCAAAGGAAACAATAAAACTTTCTCCTGTTTAATGATAGAAATTACATTAAAAGTGGTGGAATGCCCTAATTAAAAATGTACCATTTAAATGATATGCCAAGGATTCAGCTGCAGCATAGCATATTTAGCTAGTTAGTGAACTATCTACTATTTCTTTTTTTAAAATTACACGTTAAAATTTTAAAAGAAATCTTACTTTTCTCTGGTGCAACACATTACAAAGAATGGACAGTCCTTTTATCTAAATATAAAATTCCATTTTCAGCAATTATAGCCTGTTCTTGGTGATGATATAATTACAGCTGTGCTCGTAATAGGTGTCAAGGCAAAGCGCACTCATACAATAGTTGAATAAAACTGCAGAACAATGCGAGCACTTCTAAATTCACAACCTTTAAAATGAAATTGACTGTGCAGAATTCAAATAAAAACTAGATAAATATTTTTTTTAAAGATTACAAGCTTGGTTTGGTTTCTTAATAGCATTTTCTACAAACCTATCAACATCTAATTGATTCGATAGGAATTACTGATTATAGATCAGCTGAAATCCTGAACATCCTCTTCTATTTTCCCAACACAGCTATAGGTAAATACATTCTGTAGGGGAAGGGATTGGGATGAGGCATTTGGGGATTCAGGCTTACTTAGGAAAGATCATTTTGATTGGAAACTTCAGTTTTTGCTTTGTCAGAGAAATGTCACGTAGTGAGTATGTGATTATCTTGATAAAAACAGGGAGAAAGGGGAGAATGATCTGGTAACCACTGTGGTGGCCAATGCTTTTCACTAAAGAAAGCTGACCATTACCTTGGGAATATTTCTGTGACACTTACTTAGACGATCTGGCTCTTGGAGTTTATAACTACATCAGGTCCCTTTTGGCGGCTCCAAGTGATTCCACATTTCTCTTACTGTCCTGTTCTTTTTGTTCCAGATGGCTGCCAGCAACAGGAAGGAGGGGGAGAGAATACCAACTCCATCAGTTCCAATGGAGAGGATTCAGATGAGGCTCAAATGCGCCTTCAGCTGAAGCGGAAGCTGCAGAGAAATAGAACCTCCTTCACCCAAGAGCAGATTGAGGCTCTGGAGAAAGGTGATGGGAGTTTTCGAAGTAGAGGCAGTAGATCAAAGCAAATGCCACATCTTCCATACAAAGAGCTAAATTTAGCCAGGGACATTGCAGAGAGGACTGAAAAGGTTTCTTTCTTTCTTTTTTCTTTCTGTCTTTTTTTTCCTCCCTCCCTCTGGCCACCTTTTCAGGGTGTGTACGTGTGTGTTTTCTTTCTTCTTTTCATATGTGAGTGATTCAAAGACTAAACATCTGAAATATAAAGGGAAAACGATGATTTGGCTATTTCAAGCCACAGACAGAGATCATGTCATTGAATGTCATTCCACACAAAATTTTAAGTTGATTCTGGTGGGAAGGTTCTTTGAAGTGCAGTCGATGCAATGAAGGGGAATTAGTTGGAGGTAATGAAAGAAGTGGAGAGACAGGATCAAGAAAGCTTGGTTCATGCCTTTTGTGTAGTTTGGCCACAGTCTATCAAATCAATTTATTCTTTCAGAGTTTGAGAGAACCCATTATCCAGATGTGTTTGCCCGGGAAAGACTAGCAGCCAAAATAGATCTACCTGAAGCAAGAATACAGGTACTCAGGGATCATGTGTTCTTTATGCTTTGTGATGCATACCATTGGATATTTCTACACACAAATGTGCTGCCTTTATACACCTAGTCTCAGGTTTGGCCTGATAATACTCTACTACCCATAAGCCAGGAGGGTGGCAGTGGAGGTAACAGACTTAGAGAAAACAGAGGGCTAACCTATTCCATAAATTTCTAGGTATGGTTTTCTAATCGGAGGGCCAAATGGAGAAGAGAAGAAAAGCTCCGGAACCAGAGAAGACAGGCTAGCAACACCCCTAGTCACATTCCTATCAGCAGTAGTTTCAGCACCAGTGTCTACCAACCGATCCCACAGCCCACCACCCCTGGTAACTTGAAATACTAGCACTACCAAGATATGTGCTTAAACCTCTTTGCTGTGGACTCTGACTCTCACCAGGATGATCTGCCATTTCTCTCTCCCTGTAGTTTCCTCCTTCACATCTGGCTCTATGTTGGGCCGAACAGACACCGCCCTCACCAACACATACAGTGCTCTGCCACCCATGCCCAGCTTCACCATGGCTAACAACCTGCCTATGCAAGTAAGTGAGGCTAGCGCCAGCTGCACAGAATGGGAGGAATGGGTAATGGGTCAGAAGTGAGGAACTGGTAATGGGTCAGGGCCTGTAGACCTCATCGGCTGTGTTTGCCCTCTTGGGAGCCTTTCTCACGACAGTGATTAGCTTGATCAGTCAAGTCTGAGACAGTCAATCCAATCTCTTTTAGTTGATTGATTGATTGATTCATGCCCCTAAAAAACAAACACTGGACCTGTTCAGTCAAGTTAATCTGCCTTTTATCATCATGTTAGCTTGATAATGTTGCTGGTAGTGAGGCGTGTTTTGTGTACCAATGAAACTTGTGGAAATAACGCTAGTGAATTATGAGACACTAAGAGGATACTATTTAGACAATTTGCTGTTCATGTTAGTAAATACAGAATGCACGTATGCATATTGGGCATTATTTAGGGTACTTTGGATAAACTGGTATAGAAGAAAAAAGAATGAGAAAGGGGGCTTACATTTACACAGTGAGTTAGGTTTAGCATGGTAGGAAAAAAAACCCGTTTTCTTTCTACATCTTAAAATAAAAATCTAATAGAAAATATTTGCTTGAAATTTAATGTGTCTGGGCTGTAACTGATGTAATAAGTTGTGACAATCCTAGTTGACTGGAAACTTGATGCTATTCACCTGGTGTTATAACCTGCCCTTGTTTTTAGTTCTGTCCCAAATATTTATCAATCTTTACCTCACTAGCATCTGTATTTGGTTAGTGCTTTGTAATGTAAGTTGTACAGGGCATGTTTCCTGGTGGGATGATTTCCTGGTGGGAAATTAAAGATCTGTCTTCAGGTGGGCATTTTCCATACAGCAGCTCAATGGTCTGAGGCTAGTCTGTTGAGCCCCTCTGGAAATGGTTCTGGGGTTACATAGATTATTCTGTACTGAACATAGCTGGTCTTTGAAATCAAATATCAGCAAAATAAATGTTTCACAGTCTTCAGACTATAAGAACAGATAGCTAATCAACTGTTGAGGACTTATTAACATGTTTATTTTGATTGCATCTGGATATTGACCACAGTGTAATTGGTGATTAGGGGATTAACAGCTCCTGCTTTAATGTTGTTATCATTGCTGCAGAATTTTTCAGAAGTCAGGTTTCCCCAGAGGAAGTGACTATAGGAATTAGAAACAAATGTAAGCTGCAATTCTGACTTATGCATTGTGATTCATATCCTTTGCCTTTTCTTGGCTCTCTTGTCCTGTTTGACTCTTGGAACTTGACATGAGCAATCATCATCTGATTTCAATAAGGGCACCGAGAATCATGTTGAGTTTTATATGTTGTAGTGACACCTAGGTTTCTGTTAAGATGACAAAAATGTGTATTTGGGAAAAGTTTGAAATGAACACATGGCTATGATATTAGTGGTTTGTTTTTTTTTGCCTGACATTCACATTGGCATGTTGAGTCAATTTATTTCAAATTCTGACTTAGAAATGATGCAACTTGCCAGATGCCAGTAGCTTATGCCAGTGGCTGCTCAAGAGGTTGAAGGTCTGAGGATCATGGTTGGGGTTAAAGCAAAAGTTCATGAAACTCTTATCCCCAGTTAATCAACAAAGGCCGGAAATGGAGCTGTGGCTCAAGTGGTAGAGTGCAAAAAAGCTCAGGGACAGTGTCCAGTTCATGAGTTCAAGCAGTACGACTGGTACCACCACCACCACCATCACCACCACCACTCCACCACACCACCACACCACCACCACCAAACAAAATTATGTAACTTATATAGTTCAAAAAGTACATGCTTTCATAAAGCATAATGAAAATAAAACAGATCAGTAAATTTTACTGTTCAGAGAAAACTATTCTTTGTATTTTGGAATGGGGGTAAGCATTCTGTCCATTTACTTGGGTGGATCATTATTCTCTTGTTACAGAGTCTATGCTTCTGTTAATTTTCTTCCGTTAAATAGAGGGGCTTTGTCCTGGCCATGCATCTTTTCTTTTCTTGTTTTTCTTTTTTTTTTTTTTTGCACTGTGTTTGAACTCAGAGCCTCAATCTTGTTAGGTGCTCTACCACTTAAGCCTTGCGGCAAATCCTCGTGTGTGTGTGTGTGTGTGTGTGTGTGTGTGTCTGTCTGTCTGTCTGTCTGTCTGTCTGTCGCTTAAACTTAAGGCTTGGGTGCAGTTGCTAAACTTTTATGCTCAAGGCTAACTTGAACAACCACTCCATTTCAGGCATCTTGGTGATTAATTGGAGTTAAGAGTTTCATGGACTTTCCTGCATGGGCTGGCTTGGAAATGTGATCCTGAGATCTCTGCTTCCTGAGTAGCTAGGATTACAGGTGTGAGCTACTAGGTGTCTGGCTCCCAGCTTTATTTTTTACTTTATATATTTTTGACCAGGTTAGTTTGGCCCATGATTCTCCAACATATGCCTTCTCTGTATTGGGACTACAGGTATATCATGTCTGGCTTGTTGATTGAGATGGTGGGCTTGAAAATTCCTTCCTATTCCCAGACTGGCCTTGAACTATGATCTTCCCAAACCCTACCTCTGAACTAGCTGAGATTATAGGCACGGACCATCTACAGGTTTTTTTTTTTTTGCCAGTTCCAAGGCTTGAATTGGAGGGCCTGAATGTTGTCTCTGAGCTTCTTTTGCTCAAGGCTAGCACTCTACCACTTGAGCCACAGCACCACTTCCGGCTTTTTCTGTTTATGTGGTACTGAGGAATTGAACCCAGGGCCTCATGCATGCAAGGCAAGCACTCTACCACTGAGCCACTTTCCCAGCCCCCATCTACATACTTCTTATCTAGTTACCGGAAGGTTTTTTGCCTCCTCAGTGCTACCACTCTCCGTGCTTAATTTTGTGGACAAAACTCAATCAGGGCTTTTGGATCTGTTAGGAAATCATAATGATTTCTCAGGATGAGGATGAGTTAGATTTAACCCGAGGTTATTACAGAGATGGCACTTCAAGGAATCTTTAATCCTACAAGTTCACTACAGTTTACCTAGGCTCCTCCTACTACGCTCTGTCCCTAAGCTTGAGATCTCAGATTTGAGGGTCACGGAAGTTCTAAATAGGTCCAGATTTGAGAGAGAACGGGTGTGTGTTTTACCTTGTGCTGTAAGTTCTCTCATGATGCCACCAGAGGTGAAAAAGGAAAATGGATGAAGTCTTGTTAGTATTTATCAAATGGCTGAATTTGAATTCACAGTATTGTAGATGTTCAGTGTGGAGGCACCCGGACCCTGGCTGTGGCCTTTGGTCTATCACCTGGAATTCCAGTGCCTGGCATGAAAAGCATGCTTTGTGAGCAGGCATTGTTGGCAGAAGTCCTAGGGAAGAGTGAGCCCGGAGAAGCGGTGGTATGCTCAGTAACCACAGGTTTGCTTTTTTCCTCACAGCCCCCTGTCCCCAGCCAGACCTCCTCATATTCTTGCATGCTGCCCACCAGTCCTTCAGTGAATGGGCGGAGTTACGATACCTACACACCCCCGCACATGCAGACACACATGACGAGTCAGCCCATGGGCACCTCGGGCACCACTTCCACAGGTGAGCTCCGCTCTTGGGGACGAGGGGTCCTGTAGAGCATCTTTCACCAACTGATCTCTCAAATGGTACCCATAGTTTACTTACAAACCTGGCTAGGCATAGAAATAAGAATGTATTTAACCCCTTGCTTCCTTTGTCTCTGAGGGAAAAAACCGACTAAAACGAGAGTACCTTGGTGTAATATAGACAGTAGTTGTCTTCTGAACGTGGTCATACAAGTTGCATATGGAGAGAAGGCTTTAATACTTAAGTTTTCTGAGAATACAGATTATTAGTCAAAGCATACCCATAGAGCTCACTGAGCTCAGGGTGGGCTTTGGGAAGTTGTGGGCTTCTCCTAAGCACACTCTGTCTCCGACTGTTACTGAATATCCCATGTTTGTCTTCCTTGGTAAAGTTCCATACATATATATTGATAGATGCTGTGTTCTTTTCTTTGTGGTGGGGGAACTTGGGAGTCAAATAGTAATATATAACATGTTCTGAAGGTGCCGCTTTTGTTTGTAAGAGTTGGAATATTGTTTTTAAAGTATGGTAAACATGTTAAGGAGTATTAGTTTTTTTTTTTTAAAGAAAGTCTGTAAGTTCATACACCATGTCTATCTCTGGAAGAGAAGATCTACATGTCTATTTCTTCCATCCATTTCCAGGACTCATTTCCCCTGGGGTGTCAGTTCCAGTTCAAGTTCCTGGAAGTGAACCTGATATGTCCCAATATTGGCCAAGATTACAGTAAAAAAAAACAAGACAGGAAATTGTTAATTTAGACAGTGACTATGTGGACACGACATTTGGGTGATCAGAAAAGAAAGAAAAATGGCTGTTTAGAAGCACTTCATTCTACAGTTGTCCTCATTGGAAGCCTGGGGATGGACTTGAAACAAGGACCTTTACATACAGAAGGCACAGTGTCAGTTGGAACAAATCTTCATTTTGGTATCCAAACTTTTATTCCTTTTGATGTATTATTTGTAAATGGGCATTTGTATGTTATAATGAAAAAAAAAAGAACAACGTAGACTGGATGGATATTTGATCTGTGTTGGTCATGAAGTTGTTTAAAGAAAAAAAAAGGAAATCATGATCAACAAGATTTGCCATGAATTTAAGAGTTTTATCAAGATATATTGAATACTTCTACCCATCTGCTCATAGTTTATGGACTGATGTTCCAAGTTTGTATCATTCCTTTGCATATAATTAAACCTGGGACAACATGCACTAGATTTATGTAAGAAATATCTGTTGGTTTTTCCAAAGGTTGTTAACAAATGAAGTTTATGTGCAAAAAAAAGGGTAAGATATAAATTCAAGGAAGAAAAAAGTTGATAGCTAAAAGGTAGAGTGTGTCTTCGATATAATCCGATTTGTTTTATGTCAAAATGTAAGTATTTGTCTTCCCTAGAAATCCCAGAATGATTTCTATAATAAAGTTAATTTCATTTATATTTGACAAGAATACTCTATAGATGTTTTATACACATTTTCATTCAATCATACGTTTCTTTTTGGCCAGCAAAAGTTAATTGTTCTTAGATATAGTTGTATTATTGTTCACAAGTCCAATCATTTTGTGCATCTAGAATCACTCCTAATCAATTAAAAGTGCTTGCAAGAGTTTTAAACTTAAGTGTTTTGAAGTTGTTCACAACTACATATCAAAATTAACCATTGTTGATTGTAAAAACCATGCCAAAGCCTTTGTATTTTCTTTATTATACTATTTTCTTTTTAACCTTATAGTGTGGTGTTACAAATTTTGTTTCTATGTTAAATTAACATTCCAAGCCAACAAGTACTTTCATACATACTCTATTTTACATCCTAATGACCCTTAAAGAAGTAATTCTTATAGATATCCTAAATTGGAAATTTGTTGGAAAAAAATTCCACGTTAAGCCGTGTGCAGATGTTCTGTGCCCATTTATACCCACAGCTTGTACACAAAATGGTAAGGTTTCCTAGTTTAGCCATTTAATTCAAAGCTCCAAGTGCCGACATAATTTAAAAATGCAACAAGCTATTAACTAGGAATTGTGTTTTGAATTAGGGCCGGCATTTTCAATCTGGGCAGATTTCCATTGTCAGCCTCTTTCAACAATGATTTCACTGAAGTATATTCACAAGTAGATTTCTTAAACAAGACTCTCTGAAAGCTGTTGCCTTTCTCAGATAGGCCCTCTCCCCTTTCTGTCTCTCTCCCTTTTGCACGAGGCATCATTTCCCATTGAACCACTACAGCTGTTCCCATTTGAATCTTGCTTTCTGTGCTGTTGTGGATGGTTGGAGGGTGGAGGGGGGGGGATGTTGCATGTCAAGGAATAATGAGCACAGACACATCAACAGACAACAACAAAGAGGACTGTGACTGGCCGGTGGGAGTTAAAGGCCTTCAGTCATTGGCAGCTTAAGCCAAACATTCCCAAATCTATGAAGCAGGGCCCATTGTTGGTCAGTTGTTATTTGCAATGAAGCACAGATCTGATCATGTTTAAAGTGGTGGCACGCAGGGCAGGGGTGCTTGAGCCCAAGCAAAGGATGGAAAAAATAAGCCTTTGTTGGGTTAAAAAAAAAGGCTTGTCTGAGACTGTTATTTCTGTCTATCCGATGCAACATATAAAACAATATAGGTAAGTTTTCTTGTGCAAACTTCTGTAAAAATGCTGGGAGTTCTAGCATTCTGTATTAAAATGCTTGCACAAACAAACCTCTAGTGGGAAATCTCACTGCTAAGGGATTGTACCCTGCTTTTATTTATTTTTTTTAAATCTCTGAAGGTAAGTGATCAGAAATATAGACATTAACTGGAGGGTTTAAACATAACCTTCTAGTCCATCCTTCTAATGTTTTCTAGCCAAGGAATTACTGGGAACAGATAATTGGGAGTCATCTCTCTCAGCTGCTATATACTAATAATTTTATTCCTCTTAGAGTTGCTTTGCATTTAGAGACAACTTCCTAAGTTGACTGTAGTTCTTGTTGTGTGTGTGTGTGTGTGTGTGTGTGTGTGTGTGTGTGCATGCGTGCGCGCGCGTGTGTGTGTGTGTGGTTATATTCCACTCAGCCTGCATCACACACTGGCACGTACACACTGTTGGTATAGTCGTCCATGCAGACATTTCTACCTCCTGACATTTTGCAGTCTGCATTCCCTGAGGGACATGTGTTGAGGGAGCTGTCAGAGAAAAGCTGTGTGAGCTTGTGTGCTATAGCAGCAGCTGGCTGCCTGCTTCCTCTCTGCAAGAAGGGACATTTTCCAACTGGCTATGATTTGGACCAGGGTCAGGCAGCCATGGCTCTGCTGGGTGGAGATGATTGTAGAGAACTGGGTGTGGCATGGTGGGTAGAAGTGCTGGGAACTGGAGAAGGGGACTGCCACAGGAACTCGGTGTCTGTGTGCGTGCACCTGAGCACGTACGCATGTCCTCTGAGGGTCAAGGCTGCCAGGACACAGTGACACAGCCTGGTATAGTCTGAAGAAACTGCTGCTCAGCTCTGGAAGCCCTCTGGTCCAGCAGGACAGGAACCACTGATCTGCCTTCTGTCTGCACCCTAGGGAGAGGAGCTGCCCTTCGGATGGAAGCCCAGGCCCTCCGGGGACAGTATCACAAGCACAAGTGGTAGCAATGCTGGGAGTTGGCCTTTTCCTCATTGGTGTAAACATTTACTTCTGTATATTTCTGTCTCAAAAGAACTCTTCAGGGATATTGTGATGCTACTTTCTAGGATGAAAATCTACAAATATTCTTTTAAATTTGACTGGTTTTAGAAGAAATCAGGCCAACAGAATCATAGTTTAATCACTCTAGGTAGAAAGTGCTTTTAACTGCCATAAATTTCCAAGGGTATTTCCCATTAAAGTTGTGCATCCTAACTCTGAAATGATAAATAACGGTGGCTAATATGGCCACCTCTTCCTGTGTTTTTAAGTCATAACTAAGCTTCCTAAGATTATTTCTGTGGCATTGAGATTCAATATTGTTCTGTGTTTGTTACCTTGGCATGATGTTTATACTCTGCTGTTCATTTCTTTCTGCTTTGCACCTTAATGTTGACAATATTTAATTTTTTTTGCCTTGGTCATGGATGATTAAAAGTGCTCCCTTTTAAAGTTCAAAGTATACGAAGTTAGGATTAATATTGCTTAATTTTGATGCGGTTGTGACTACCTTTAGAGAACAGTAACATGATGTCTCAGAAATGACATTAATAATGGGCTTAAACAAATGAATAGGGTGTCTTCTACTTCCCTTTTGTATGGGTTTATATGTGTCTCCTTCATTAGAGATAGACAGGGAATTGGTTGAAAAGTGTCCCTTTTGAAGTGTTTTAATTTGGTCTAGGCTTAGAATTACAAGGTCCTGGAGGTGGAGATAAAAAAAAAATACATGGAAAAGAGGAAGAGAAAAGTGGGTATAATCTAGTGGCTATTAGCAAGAAATTCAGTAAGTCTTAGAACAGTACCTGAGCAGACTGCAGTAGTCAAAATATTGACCTCATATTGAAGAAAGGCAGATCTACCATAAGAAATGAATACTACACAGGGCTCATATACTGGAAACACTGATCTATATGAGGACATTTCAGCTATTGTATTTGGCAGTTTTCAGTATTTCAATTTTTGAGTCAAATTGATAATTAAAAAAACCCCTGTTATCAGAGTACACATAATCAATCAGATAAATATGTATGTATATAGTAGCATTTTTTAGAAACCAATATTTTTATGTGTAATTTATTAGGGTACTAGAGAACAAATAATGATTCCAGAAGGAAGGAAAATATGTATTTCCAGAAGGTTTTTTAGCAGAAGAAAACAAGAATATACATCCCTCTGCAGTAGCTTATTTTTCCAGTGAATCAGAAAAACAAAGCACAGGACCCAGTATTTTAGAAAGCCTAGATATTTTTATTATTCAAGTGCACTTTTACTGTGTTTGAAAAGCCTCCTAGGTACTCTCATTATTCAAATGCACTTCTACTGAGTTTGAAAGTTTCATTTATATTTAAAACAAGGGTTAAAAGATGTTCACTCAATTTTTATTATACTTATCTATTTGCAAAGCATATATTAACTAGTAATTGGCTGTTAATTTTATAGACAGGACAGCCAGGGAAGTAAATCAATGACCTATTAAGTATTTTGACAAGTAATTTACATATCTGATGACCTCACATTTCCTTTTCAGAGTCAAATGCTATGCAATTGTTCTGTTGTATGTTTGTGTAAAATGAATCACAACAAGGTAAGGAAAAGGTTAGAGTTATTAAAATAATAACCTGATTAAACATTCATATGGAATTTATTTGTACTATTCATAATGCTTTCAAAGGACATAATAAAACTGTGGAGTAACTGCATATTATTATCTATGGACTAAATCGATTTTTTGAAGTTGCTTTAAATCTTAAAAGCCCCTTTGCTTAGTATAAAAGCCTTTTAATTTTAACTGACAGATCAATTCTGAAACTTTATTTTGAAAAGAAAATGAGAAGAATTTGTGTCTTTAGAATTAAGAGAGAAAAAAAAGTAAAGCAGACATTCTAAAAAATAGAAGAATAAACGTGATTTCTTAGTACTAATGAAACAAGCGGTGACAAAACAGTTGTCTTTTTGATTCTGATCACAAAAAATAAACTGGTAGTGACAGGATATGATGGAGAGATTTGACATCCTAGCAAATCACTGTCATTGATTCAATTATTCTAATCTGAATAAAAGCTGTATACAGTGTGTGTTTATGCTACATTGGTTTTTTTTTAAGTGACTGACATTCATCATATTGGTTAGACAGTTTTAAAAACCTAGTCTTTGTTTTCCACTTTGTTGTCAAGAGCAAATAAAGTATCACTCATGGTATATTAAAAGCAAGCTGCTTTAAATGGCTAGTTTTAACTGCTTCAAAATTTTGGAAATTTAGTTTCTCCCAGTGGGTATTAAACATCTTTTAAAAAAGAGACTCTGTAAATATATAAATTCCTTTTAAATTCTCACTTTTTACCTATTTGTTAACAGCTTTGAGAATCTGGATCTATGATTTAAAAACCTAATGTTTTAGCTGAAAACTGGTTCAATATTATATTTATGTATATTTATATGTTTACACATTTACATACTCAGCCAATGTTCACAATTAATGAAGAGTTTATAAACATAGTAGGTTTGGGTCAGTTTCATTTTTCTATGCTGTATTAGACCTATATTCTTGAAATCTCTCACCCTGCTCTTTAATGAATGTCTTCCTCAGGTAGTTGTCAATCTGAATTTCAGTCCTGAGTTATGCTTGCTGATATGATTTCGTAGTGCTGACTTTAATCGTTTAGGATTACCAAACAAAAGACTATCCAACTTCATTTTCTACACTTTCTATCACTCAAATTCTTTACATTTATTAACTTTTATGGCAGACTAGTTACTTCTAACAGGGTCCAAATCCCCAAATATTATTCTGTCTTTTACACTTTAGTAATAGGATAAACATGCAAATTTATTTCATATATTTATAAATACAATCTAGGAAAATCTTTGATGGCAAGCTTGATGGCAAGAGACTTTTTCAGAAATGAAGAGAAATTTTTCACGCACAACATAAATTTCATGATTTATATGCTACTTCCCTGTGATGCTACTTACACAGATAGTCCACACACACTAAAAAAAAAAGATCACTTGAAAGCATTTGATTTTTTTGTGTTTATTTAAAAATAAATTACTTATTTGCTCTCCACATAGCAAAAGCAA